TAATTCAAAATGTGCAAAGTTAAAGTTTACTTAATTTCCTTTCACAGCATTAAACAGCACTGTTTTATCATACACCAAAAAAGGCCAATATTACCGATCCTTGAGATAGTTACAACTTATGCCACAGCCATTTAAAGATTTCACCACATTTTCATATTAGAAATGCTCTGATGGCACAGGCCTCCTGACACATAAATTATGACAAACAGCATCTCCTCCATTCCCACAAAATCCACCTCTCTTTTCTCCATCCCATCCATCACTAGCRACTAGCCCTTGTTTTCAAAATGTCTCACCACTTCCTTTCCTCACCAATCATCCGTGGCTCACAACCAAGCCAGAGTCCAACCTTATCAGCCCAGAAWACCCACTCTCATTGCCCGCTCACTAATTCTTATGGCAATCACGTGCCTCCTCCCCCCACACCCAGCCATCTCCCAWGCCTGAGAGAAATTCCATGAAAACATTCATGGTTCTACTTCAATGCTCTCCCTCATCTCTGACAGAGAAGTAATGCAGACATCCAGAGCAACACCAGACTCATCACCCCATGTGGGACTAAYGGCTTTGAAAACAATTTAGAGGAAAAAAACCAAAACAAAACAAAATACCAAAACAACCCAAACCCACAAAAAAGTGACAGAAAAATTTATACCAAAACATTTAAGATTTATCAAGACACAGTTTATTCCATTGAGTAGCAACTTTGCTCTTAAATAGAAGGACTGTAGTTTAGTTTTAGTTTACAAGTTAAAAAAAATGAAATAATTTTTCTATTTTTAGCAGTGGCARACCCATCTGGATTAGTTAGGAGCTTTTTCTCTTTCTTCTGTGCACAGGATCAAACATAATTTGTTCTCACTAATCTAAATATTCATGGATTTAAATACAGAATCCACACTCGTAGTAGTTTCATAATTTTTCAGGGGAAGTATTGTCCTTGTCCTCGAAGGCCAGAACTAATGTTGTGTTAAAATATTCCAAGTCCCCCCAGTTTATCCATTTCCCACTACCAAACCCAAACACATCTATACATTTCAATCAAGGAAAGGTCAAGGTATCAAGAACAAAACACCCTACCTCAGGCTTCACAAATAGTTTGTGATAAATTTCATGTTATGACAATACAAGTAAAAAAAAAAAAAAAAAAAAATTGAATCCATTAGTGAGTTGGAAAGCTTCTTGCTACATAAAATAAATCCAATCAAGAAACAGAAAACTATTCCGGACACCATATGCCTCTGTCCTCACATAAGTGAGAACATTTTACAGAAAAAGCAGGTCACATATTGGAAGCTTTGTTTTCATTATAAGTTTTCATGCAATTATTTCTTAATCGTAACTGTAGTATAAGGTGTGGTGTATTGCAGTTTGTGTAAACCCACACATAGCTTTCAAGTAGAAGCTGCCTCTTTCCAGCCTTGGTTGACATTCTTGTACCTCTCATAAAAATCTGTCATACAAGAAAAGAAAYAAACTGTACTCCAGTGGTTCTATGGCTTCTGTAAGAATGCTGTACCCAAGTTGCACRGTAAGCTGACAAGTCAGTGAAAGCAGAAAATTTTTTTAAAAAGAAAGCGTATTTGTAATTATGAACTCTACTATAGTAAGCTATATGATTCCCCTCATGAGATTCAACTAGCCTTGAGCAAAATAAGGAGGAAAAAACAAAACCAAAAAAATCCAAAAAACCAGACACAATTATCAATAGCATTTTCTATGGAACCAAAGATACAATTAACTCCATYTTAGTAAGATGCCCTGTACTACAGCTTCCATCTCGCTTTCTCAGTGAAGATCATGAAGTGAATATTTACCATACCAGCCTCCTCATAGGTGCCCAATACACTTTGGACTGCTTGGGAGCTGTGTCAGGGACTAACAGTCCTATGTATAAAAGCTTTCTTGCAAWATTTTGCTGAAGAATCAACCTGTGCCTCTAAATCCCGAGGAGGACACTTTGGTGAAGACTCCAGAAGAAAAGGCTTCTTTGTCTTCATTGTCAAGAGTGAGGCCTCCCCCAGGAGGGTAAAAGGCATCAGGCCCTCAGGAAAGAATCCCCAACCCCATTTTCTATCAGGAACCTCCCAAGTGGGGCACATGGGTCTATAGAAATTTCTACCTCACTTGGAAATTCTGTAATTAGTGTTTGTAATCACAAAACACTTCAGCCAAAGTAAAGGAGCAGTCAAAGAAATAAAGTCCTTATCACATTTTCCTTCTTACCTTCCTAGATGTTAATGGATAGGAAGTTACTCCCCATRCCATCTCCTCTTCCACCTAAAACTCTGGCAGTAACTAAACCTGTCTTGTTCTCCTCTGCCCATTCTTTACAATGCACAACTCCAACAATGTAACTCACCTGCCCACACACACCAYACTGTAAAAGCACTCCTTGCAGCTTATTAAATCTCTTCCATACTCGGGCTGGGCTGCCTGAGAGACCCTGATGTTCACTCTTGCCTCAGTTACATAGAGCAAAACACTTTCTCAAACTACCAAGTACATTGGCTAGAAGACTTCCTTAAAAATGAAAGCACTGCTCAAACTSTCTGGATTTGGTTTAATTCRGTTTAGGTCTWAATTCTGCTACCAGATTACRATTCCAGGGTAGGTTTGTGAGGGGRAGTTCAGAACTCTCCTCCAAAACACACYACCTTGGACACCTGTATGGACTTCMATCACCCTCCAGGACTGTCAAAAGCAAAACAAGAAATGGCCAAATGGCAACCAAAGACAAATCACARAAACTRCCTCCTRCCCACACTACAGGCTCACATACCTGAAACCCTCCTCTGAAGCAGCAGCTCCTCACACCCAGCCCCTTCTGAGAGCAGCAAGGCTCCTTCCCACCCTAAGTAAGGCAGGTGCTCCCCATCATCCCTCCCAGGGTCCAGGTGCTGCTCCTTTTCCACTGTTCTCAGTCTCCATCAATCCCTGCTGCATCTGAGCYCTTTTCTCCCAGGAGACAAATACAGGAACACTCAGGTCCAGACAGGACCCCCAGAAAGCATTTCCCCCATTTCTCTGCAAGTTCCAAAAGGGTCTCATCTCCTACCAGCACCGCATACCTCCCAGCTGGGAACTACCACACTAAGAACTTTCTATCTTCCTCTCTCTGCAGATCTCATCTCCAAACAGGAGGAGGATTCTTTGCATTTTATTGGAAATAGTCCAAAGAAATTTGAAGATAGATAAGTTGTATATCTTAACAGTTTGTCAACAAGTTATTAATGTTTTAAGTGTTCCAGGTATAAACACATGCAAAAATAACTTGCATAATATACTCAGAATATTATGGCAATAATGAAATTCAATCTACACAAACTCTCAGATTAGGCTAAGGAATAGTTTTTATATCTTWTTAATTATAAGTAAGAATCCCTCTCAGTTTTCAATGTTGATGGAAATCAATAGCTTTCATGCAGATAAACAAAGTGTAGCTCTATACTCAGTTTAGTTTTTTTAGAGTGGCAAGTGCCTGAGAAGAAACTCAACTAGAATAAAATCTCCACAGAAACAAAAAAAGGATGGCAGTTTTGATTTTCTTTAAATACAGAAACATAATTACTGGGCTTCTTTTCCAAGATGACACTAGACAGCAGCTCTAAATATTTTTAACCGCACAATCCATTTATTATTCTTTGTTTTTTCTTTCCACAAACAGCCCGAGACTTTCTATTTCTGAGACTTCAAATTAAAGACTTTCATATGGCTAGCTTCAGCCAAGGAAAGTTCAAAAATAGTATAAATAYAGAACAATATTAAGACTGTAAATCTAAATGTACATTAATTGCATCCGATATGCAACAAAAAGCTTACCCACAGTAATCGAGAAAATTAAGAGTAGGTCTTTATTAAAACACAGTGAGAACCAGGAAATTAGAACTGTATTGCTTCTAGTATCTCTGTTTATAACAGGAAGGGATCACAAGTGATTATTCGTTCAGATTTCTGTTTTGCTCTAAAGTAGGCCAGCCAGCTCAGCACTTTTCTTAAGATTATGAATACTTGTCTGCCCTACATATGGTTTAGGCTGAAACCAATCAGCTGAGCTGAAACAATGAAGCAAAACCGATTATTTTCATATCATTCATTTTCAGCTATAATGAAGAAGTACACAGAACAGGTATGAAAGGACCAGATTTTTAATTCTTTTAAAATTTGCCTWGCCATAAGTACTGTTCACTAAGGAGCTCACTGATTTCCTCACTATTGGATTAACACTTCATCTAGATTCAAGAATAATTTGCTATTCATTAATAACTCTTTAACCACTTTTCTCTGCTAGTTTCCAKTTCATTTTTGTACATTGATTACCTCATTCAATAAGAAGAAGACTGAGCACTGAACTGCATCCAATAGRCTTTCACATTAGTACGACACTCAGGATGTAAACATGCACTGCAAGAAGCCTTACATCAAAACTTTAAAAACATTTGAAATAAAAGAATTTATTGAATTTTTAACTGAAATACTTTTGTTTGCTCTCTCTCCCTCACRCAAGCCATTCTTAAGATTTTTCTTGCTATCTGGAGGAAGTCAGGTTGAATAATAGAAGGTTGCTATCTTGAGTTCAAAATAGTAGTATCTTCAAACAAACCCAGTTGTTTGGAAGATCAGAACTGCAGAAAAAGCTTTGTTTAAATAGGTTTTAACTTATTTTTCTTAAAAGTTAAGTAGTCTCATTTTCTAAAGCTGCCAAGCACTCATAGACTCAATGAAGTTGTGACCTTGAAAATATGTTGATTATGAAAAAAACCCACCTTTCATATTTGGGTTTTCCTTTTACATTTAAGATATAAACACTCTCAAATCATGAGTAAGACATTCCTGTCCAATTACACCACTCAAAACTATTGGTAGGTATCAGCAGCAAGGCAAAGCACAAAAAAAACAAAAAAAAAAAGGCTACAAAGTAAATTTGTTTAAACAAAGACAATGCACTTAGTATTTTGATGTATGAGGCAGAATATTTCTGCACCAGGGGAGAAACGTACCTTTCATCAGCTGCAAAACTTTGGTGTCAGATGGCAATATAATCCAAATGGGTCTCAGCAGCATGTTCCACAATATCCACAAGTTTCAGCATGGGGGTTTTCCACTTCCTCCAGGAGACCATTAACATTAGTATGAATCCAAGCAGTTAAGATGTAAAGCAGCTGTATGGGCCAGTTTGAACCATGTTAAGCAGCCCTGAAGAATCCCAAGCTGTATTCCACCATTCTAACAGTGATGCAATATGGCACCCATCACAGACTGGTGTTCTGGCAACCATCGCATTTTCCCAACAATCAAATTATGACCTGGTCAAACACAAGGAAGAAGTGTTAGTTCAGCACAGTAACTTTGCCACACCACTCAGGGAATAACATAAAAAAATAAAGTTATGTTCTAATGAATAATATCAAACACATATTTCTTCACAGGTTCAGACACATGCTAAACTGAAAGCCCACTGATGGCATTTCACCTTAAAAACATCATTGGACTGTAGCGTAATGGAAGAAGGTTTAAGAAAAAGGCTTTCATAGGTCTCTAAGATTGCCCAGTGTTACATTCCAGAAAGCACTGAAGTGACAGGAAACAAAGGCTCTTCAACTGCCAAAGCAGGTATTTCAAAACTAATGAAAATAGTAAGTCAATAAAAAAATCCCAATAACAAAAATAAAACTCATCAACCCTTTTGAGGGAAACATACATGATCTTTTCTGCCTCCTGTCACAGTGTCCCCCCACAGCACCTCCACCAGCAGATTTGCTACTTCCATTGGGACCTGAACTATGAACACCACTGATGGCATTTGGCCCAGCAAGAAACCAAAGCAGCCAAACACACGTCAGTCTACTCTGATACTCCCTCTGTGCAATTCCTTCAGAAGCACAAAAAGCAAATTTTAGTTACATTGGGAAGGGTACTGTGAGGGACAGAGAGAAAAGTTTGAGTATCCTGCACGGCAGGGAACAATGACGTGAAGAACAGCATCGGGTTTGCCAAGACGGCATGCGGGAAAGAGAAAAGAACAAAATTCCACACTAAGGACAACAGAGAAGAACTAGAAGCAGCTTTTAGAGACTGGAAGATTCATGTACATAGAGATGAAGACAAGAAAGGAGAAGGTGAATATTGGTGAACAAAAACTATTGCTAGAAGTGCTCACTCTGTAACTGGGTAATGTGGATGTAGGGCAGTCCACAGAAGAAAAAGTTTAGGAGGAMACAAGAAGTAGCTTTATATTTGCTTCACATCAGGAGAAACATGCATATCATGGGGGAAAGAAAAGATCCTGGCAAAAGAAGTTTTTCATAAGAAATGAAAGAAAGCATAAAGAAGAAAAGTAGGTGGGAAGGGATCAGCAAGGAGGAGACTAAGTAACAATAGAAAGTGAAAAAGAGACTTCAGAAATTCCGAAATGCGTAGATCTAAGGAGAGAGAAGGACAATTAGGAAATTGGGACAAGAAAATACAAGAAAGTAAAGGACTAGGATGAAAAAAGAGAAAAATGAACAGTTAATACATAGCACAGAAAAAGAGGATGGGGAAATAATAAGAYACTAAATTGATCAAGATAATTATGAAAAGTACAAAGAGTGCACAAGTAAGTTTTCTGGAGTTGCGACGCTTGCTCTAGAAAGCATGAACCAAAAGGAATGGAACAAAACCCAAGGCGATTATTGTGTTTCCAAAGGGACGAAGGGAATTGCACTGTGCAGGAGAAGCCCAGCCGAGGAAGGGCCAGCCTGGACTGAACCTTTCTACTCTCCCCTTCGCTATGATCAATGCATTCRGAAGAACAAAGTCCTCCCTCTGGTCCATCCCTCTTCTCCTAAAATTGTCCCTCGGCACTTCTGCGYACCTTGGTTCCCTGGGATGGTCCCACAGGAGCAATGTGTTACCCTGCGCGGTGTCTCGGCCCCCGCAACCCCAGCTGGCACACGGCGGAGCCCCCACTTTGCCCCTGCTGCGCGCTGCCCTGCCCAGCCCCACGGCCTTCASTAGCCCCCCACTCCCGGGCTAGGGCCGACAGGGCTCCCCACAAGCCCGTCAAGTTTCCGTCTTCAGCTTTCCTCT